ATCTGACATCTCTCCTCCCATCAAACATGCCATCAATCCCCCTCCCCTCTCTCTCCCCCTTTTCCTCCCCTCCTCCCCGTCCCCAGATCGTGAATGAGACAATCCCGGCCCTCCAGGAGCTGAAAGCGGCCAGCAAGATCCGATTCATCGGCATCACAGGCCTCCCTCTCTCCGTCTATCGATCCGTTCTCCCCCGCCTCTCTCCCGGCGCTCTCGATCTCATCCTCTCCTACTGCCACTACTCACTCAACGACACGACGCTTGGGCCGCTGCTGCCGTGGCTGCAGCAGCAGGGCGTGGGAGTCATCAGCGCGTCTCCTCTCTCTATGGGCCTGCTCACCCCCCAGGGACCCCCCTCCTGGCACCCCGCACCGCAGCCCCTCAAGGTATGTGGCTCCAAATAGTGGAAAGCAAGTCAGACTCATGTTGGGATCATTTCAGGCCCGCCCTTCGCTGGCCTCTCGTGTTTTGAGTCGACTCAGGTGTGTTTTGAGTCGACTCAGGTGTGTTTTGAGTCGACTCAGGTGTGTTTTGAGTCGACTCAGGTGTGTTTTGAGTCGACTCAGGTGTGTTTTGAGTCGAATCAACACGCACTTTGAAAGCAAGGCAGACTCATGTGGGGATCATTCCACGCCTGCCCTTCGCTGGCCTTTCGCATGCCTGTCGCCTGCCCCCCTCCCTCCCTCTGTCATTCTCACCATCAGGATGCATGCAAGGCGGCAGCACTGGCCTGTCAGCATTTTTCTAGGCACCTACCGACTTTTGAGGCGCCTCGCAAGGCGGCAGCTCTGGCCTGTCAGCAGCGGGGAGCATCGCTTCCCCGACTGGGCCTTCTATTTGCCACACTCAATCCAGCTCGTGGCTTAGCAGTGCCCTCCTTCTTGCCCTCTCTCGAAGTTAGACTGGATAGAACGTTTTTTTTTTCACTTAGAGACTATAACAATACTCCCTCTCTCTTCCGCTCTGTCTTCGTAACTGTCAGGATGCATGCAAGGCAGCAGCACTGGCCTGTCAGCAGCGGGGAGCATCGCTGCCCCGCCTGGCCCTCCAATTCGCAACGCTCAACCCCGCCATCACGACGACGCTTGTGGGCATGAGCACGGTGCAGCAGGTGAGGGGAGAAATGTGCCATGGTAACGAGGTGACTTTTGAGTCGACTCAAAAGTCACCTCGAGGGGAGAAATGTTGGCAGTGTCGTGTAGTGAGCAATAAGCATAGTAACCAGGAGTTTGATGTTCTCCTGTTTGCAACGCTCAACCCAGCCATCACCACGACGCTTGTGGGCATGAGCACAGTGCAGCAGGTGAGGGGGGAGAAGCGTTCAATCACCAGTAGGGAAAGGTGTGGTGGTGTGCATGGTAGGAAGGGGAGTGAGTGCGTCGGTTGGCCCTCCAATTCACAACGCTCAACCCAGCCGTCACGATGTGGGCATGAGCACAGTGAAGCAGGTGAGAGGGGAGAAGCGTTTGAAGGTTGTTGGGTGATGAGCGTTTGAAACGGTGCTTGTGTGAGTAGCAGTGGTGTGGCGGTGTGTGTAGCAGCAGGGAGGCTGATCACCCGCACTGGCCCTCCAGTTTGCAACGCTCAACCCAGCCATCACCACGACGCTTGTGGGCATGAGCACAGTGCAGCAGGTGAGGGACGAAATGTTGGGAGTATCGGGAAGTGACGCGTTGAAGTGTTGCTGTGTGGGCTGGGTAGCAATCATAACTTCATGTGTCCTCTCTTTTTTTCTTTTTTTTTCATGTTCCCTGGGTGCAAGATACGCACGTGGATTGTATTCCAAGTTCCATGCTAGCTCCTGCCCTTCTCTGCGCGTGCAGGTGAGGGAGAATGTAGCAGTAGCAGTGATTGAGGCTGCAAGGCGAGGCATCAACGGGATCAAGTGCCAAATGAGCTCTGTGTCCCTCGCTTTTCACTTGTTGTGTGAGCAGGTGCGGGAGAATGTGGCAGCGGTTATCGAAGCAGCTGAGCGAGGCATTGATGAGACAATGCTGAAAGAAGTGGAGGCTATTCTCGCGCCTCATAAGGACACCACATGGGCCAGTGGTCGCCCTGAGAACAATTGATCGTATAGCACTTGTTAAGATATATTTTTGGGCCTCATAAGAACATGGCCCAGTGCTCGTCTGGATAACTGATTGCGCAGCATTGGTATTTGTTAGCATGTGAACTTGAGTTGTTATTTCAAGAATTGAATAGGATAAATAGAATGGAGTGAACCTCCAGGAGAGAATTACTGTAGAACCTCCAGGAGAGAATTACTGTAGAACCTGGATCGGTGATTCATCCTTACTCGCATGGCTTCGAATTACGCTAGTGGCCGCGCCAGGGGATTCCTGCTGGCTATTTTTTTCCCAGCGCATTACCCTACAAGGGTTCGTATCCCCGAAACCTCTGTATTGATAATTGCGCGATTTTCAATTTACGAGATGATTTATAATGGATGTTTTAGCGTGATGATTTATATTCGAAATTTATGTTCGTGATTCTATATGACCGCGCCTGATTGGACGCGCATATAGTCGACCAATCATGCGCGGTTATTAATGGTCGGGCGCATCATATATTAATGCCCGATCATATATTTCCGCGATCATAAACTGCAATGCCCGGGCGTCAATGTGTGGGACATTAAATGACCACGCATGATAGATCGATTATATGCGCGGTGCTTTGTTTTGCAATGCGCGTCCAATCAGGCGAGGTCATACGGGGTCCGATCATAAATTTCGGATATTGAAGATCGCGCATTAATCATTACAGAGGTTTCAGGGGTACAAACCCTTGTAGGTGTAATGCGCCAGGTAAAACAAAACTAGCGGGAATCCCCAGGCGTGGCCACTCGAGTAATTATCGCCAAATTCGGTAGCCACTCGAGTAATTTAAAGCCACGCGAGTAAAAACGAATCACTAATCCAGGTTCTACAGTAAATCTCTCGAATTACCAGACTCCAGAGAAACAGCCACTACACAACCAGTGATGGGAAACCAAAGCCGTCGATCTTTTTCGTGCGGTGCGCATCCAACGACCGGGGGAAACCATTGCATTAATGGCGTACAATGCTCGTCCTGTCCAATCAACTGCCACCTACGTACGACCCTGCAAGATCCGGATCGCATCGGTAATTCGTGGTTACAGGCATACGCCCATCGCTTCGCTGGCAACAGCCAATTACCACTCTACACGCGCGTGGCCTCCGCTGCCACGCAATTTACACAATCAACTCGACCTCCCTTTGGATGGAGCCCGCACCGCCACCGCCAAATGTCTTCAGGGCATGTCAAAAGAAAACGTTTGAATGCGGCTCAGTGGGATGCTTTACATTCTTCTACTTTCAAATAACGGTCTTACACGGTTGAGTAGGGTAACGAGTGCCGAAACACGTTAACACTCTCACCTGGTTCGGTCAGTACCCACTCAACCCAGCTAAACCACTAAGAATCCAAATACAACAGCATAAGGGCGCGGTACTTTTAATTCAAAGTTCAGAAAACTGGTCGAGCTCGAGCTGGTTACTTGCTTTGGGAATGTCGCAATTATCTTCGCATGGAACCAGGTCTGCGTTCAATTATTGACCTGGTAAGTCAAGTAACCACACAGTCAGTCGAACGCATGTTCGAACTTGGATTCGAAGCGTGGTTTCGAACGTGGTCATTTCTGCGTATATTCAGCAGCTTCACGAACGTGACGAAGCATGACGACATCAACGATGACGATTTCGACCACAATGCCAGAGCCGCGTAGACTACATCGGGTAACCTACATTTGTCCTCGCGACTCGGAGAAGGTCGAATCTCGTTTTTCGACCCTCGATGGTCGCCTTTTGACTTGGCAGAAATTGGCCCCGCGACTCGAATTTCACAAAATCAACTTCTCGACCTCACAATCGAACTTCAAAAGGGTGAAATCGATTAAAAAGGCAAACTTAGGGACTTGTGCCAGAAGCACCACGCCCTAATGCACTTGATCCAAACAGATCCAGCCTTTCCCGAGTCGAAGCCCCTGTTCGAAGCCCCTGCACTTGACTCCGCACGTCGCCCTGATGAAGCAAACTGCACATGGTCCTATGTCGCGGCGCTCTGTATAAATTTTTTTCCCGAAGTACAAGTAACGGCCTTCACTCGAGCAAGAAGATTCGCGTTGCAAAAATAATTCTTTTACCGCAGAATATAAAGTTTCACTACGAGCTTCGACTCGGTCCGCATTCTTCATTCGCATCGTAACAAATTTCGTCATACTTACCCTTTACTCTTGCCAAAAGGCATCAGTATGGATCAATCCGCAAAATCACGACCCCGACGACTCGCCTCAATTCATGTGGTCAAAGCGTGGCTGGCGCATGCAATTGTCCTCCTGCTGGTCGGTGCCTTGGTCGATCGCGCCTCGTCTTGTGAACCGTCTTCCCTTTCAGGCTTCTCGAATTCCGTGGATCTCTCGGGAAACGGGTGAGTCGAATGCTGCATGTAAATTACTAGGCTAACGACGGAAAACAGATGGAGGCACCGCTCAGAATGCGAAGAATCACTCGGTCAAGTGCGGCTTTCGGCGGTGCCAGGTCGGTGACCGTCGGACGTCTCCAGCGAGCAACAGAGGAGGAGGTTTAGCTCGGTGGAGATGTCTGATGGTCTGCTGCTCCACTGATTCAATTAGTCCTATTTCTAGGAATTGGATCCTCATCCCTTTTCTCGTTTGGACCTGCTTTCAGTTCTCTCTCTTCCCCCACCCCACTTCCTCTCCCCCCCTCCCCACCTCCCCCACCCCCCCCCCCCCCCCCCCCCCCCCCCCCCCCCCCCCCCCCCCCCCCCCCCCCCCCCCCTCCTCTTCCCAAACCTCTTCCTCCCCTTCCATCTCCGCCTCCTCTCCCCTCCCCACGCCCAGTCTGGTGCTGCATTGGACCCTCAACGCCTCGCGCCTGCAGTTCGCACTAGAAGCCAAACCCGCGAGTGGGGCCGAGTCCGGCTGGTTCTCCGTCGGCTGGGCGGCAAACCACGGCCGTATGTACCCCGCGGATTGCGTGATCGGGAACCTTCGGGGAAGCAGCGTGGGCGCGTACTACATCAGCGGGTACAGCCAGTCTGACGTGGCGCCTTCTGATGGGTTTTCGATTGGGACGCCTGAGTTGACATCTGGAAGTAACGGCGGCAAAATTATCAAGTGGGTGGAGTGAAACGAGGTGATGTGATGTGGATGACACGAGGTGAGGCGAATGGTGAATTCTGGTGGATGTTTTTTTGAGTCACGTGAAATAAGTGAGTTTCCAAGACGTCTCAAAAACTCACCTATTTCCCACGGTGAATTCTCATCGTGGTAGATGATTTTTTGAGTCGACCCATGAAAAGAGTGGTATATCTCATTGAGATGGTGGATGGTGGATGCGTGTATCATTGAGTTGGTGTGTTTTGCTGCTACCTCTCCTCCATTTCCTGCTCCTTATTCTGCGCCTCCCGCTCCTACTTCTGCTCCTCCTGCTCCTGCCCACAGGTTGTCTCGCTCCCAAATAGACGGAGGAGCAGCTCCTGCTTCAGTGGCAGCAACATCACCACCTGGGCTCTCCCTCGTGAAAGAAGAGTGCTTTTTAGACGTCTCAGAAACACTCTTCTTTCACGTGTTGATCCCAAATGGACAAAGGGGCAGCTCCTGCTTCTGCTTCAGCTGCCAAAACATCACCACCTGGGCTCTCCCTCTCCCTGTCCTCTCACCCTCTCCCTGTCCTCTCACCCTCTCTCCTCCTCAAGCTGACTTTTGAGTCGACTCAAAAGTCAGCTTGCTTCAGTGACAGAAACATCACCACCTGGGCTCTCCCTTTCCTTGTCCTCTCGCCTTCTCTCCTCCTCAACTCCTCTCCCTCCTTTTCCTCCCGACCTCTCTCCTCCTCAACCCCTCTCCCTCCCTCCAACCCTCTTCTGCCTGCAGGTTCTCTCGATCAGAAGGGGACGGAAAGGCAGTACCAGTGAGTTTCAATGGCAGCAGCAGCCTCATCTGAACTTCCCCTCTCCCCTTGCCAATCCACGCTCTCCTGTCTGCAGGTCCTCTCAATCAGGAGGAAACAGAAGGGCTGTGCCAGAGAGCTTCAGTGGCAGCATCATCATCTGGGCTTTTCCCCTTCCCTTCCCCTCCAACCCACCCACCCCCTCCTATTTGCAGGTTCTCTCGATCAGAGGGGAATGAGGGGCGGTATCAGTAAGCTTCAATGGCAGTAGCAGCATCATCTGGGCTTTTCCCCTTCCCTTCCCCTCCAACCCTCTTCTGCCTCCAGGTTCTCTCGATCAGAAGGGGACGGAGGGGCGGTACCAGTCAGTTTCAATGGCAGCAACAGCCTCAACTGGGCTTTCTCTGACTCTGGATCGACTGAGCTGGCCTTCCATGGCAACAACGCGTGAGTACCACAAGAGTGTCTAATCCAATGAATATAGATGGGCGCGCGCCACACTTCAGCTGATACTAAAGCAGGTTCAACGAATGTGGACGGGTTCACGTCACGTGTCTGATTGCAACTGACCTGACTGAGCTGGCCTTGCACGGCAATGAGGAATGAGCACCACACGAGCTTCTCTGAATGTAATCGACAGGTCACGGCATGTCGCAGACTGAGCTTGAGAGAGCTAACCATTTCTGGCAACAGCGAGCAAGTACCCACCAGAGGTTCAATGAATGTAGACGGTACATCTCAGTCAGACTGCACCCAGCAGAGCTGGCATTCCATGGTGACAATATGTGAGTTGCCAGATGTTCAATGAATGTAGACGGTACATGGCATACTGCACTTGTGTTTATTTATGTCTCTGTCGTCCTATGCCTGTCTTTTTGCCTTTATCTTTGACACCCCTGACACTGCGCCCCTTGTCTCCCATTAGAGGTTTGATGAATGTAGACGGTACATGTCATACTGCACTCGTCTTTATTTATGCCTTTGTCCTTGTGTGCCTGTCTTTTTGCCCTTATCTTCCACACCCCTGTGACTGCGCCCCTTGTCTCCCGTTAGAGGTTCGATGAATGTAGTGTCAGATTTATATGACATAATTGCTATAGGCTATAGTGGGGTAGCACATATGGGGTACAGGGTTTCTAGGGTTGTATTTGTACCCAATCTTTCCTTAGTCATTTCATTCCTGTTTCACTTGTTTCACATGGTATAGAGCGGGTCCTTCTAAGGACCGTTTTTTTTAGGGCCCACCGAAGCGCGCCCCGAGGCGCGCAATTTTTTTTTAGCGACCCTTCGGGTCGCCATTTCCCTCGCGGACCCGCTGTCCCTCAGACGCGGCCCCGCCACCCCTCCTGATCGCGGCCCCGCCGCCTACTTAACGCGGCCCTGCTGCCTACACTGACGCGGCCTCGCCGCCGGCTCTGACGCGGCCCCGCCGCCCGCTACGTCGCGGCCCGCCGCCGGCCCTGACGCGGCCCCACTGTCGGCTCTGACGCGGCCCCGCCGCCGGCTCTTAGCCGGCCTCGCCATCGGCTCCAACGCGGCCCCGCCCGCCACGACGAGGCCCCGCCGCCGGCTCTGACGCGGCCCCGCCGCCGGCCCTGACGCGGCCCCGCCCCGGCTCTCACGCCGCTGCACCTTGACGGCCCCGCCGTCCCCTCAGCAGGCCCCGCAGCTACACCTGACGGCCCCGCCGTCCCCTGTGCCGGCCCGCCGCTGCACCTACCGGCCCGCCGCTGCACCTGCCGGCCCGCCGCTGCACCTGCCGGCCCGCCGCTGCACCTGCCGGCCCGCCGCTGCACCTGCCGGCCCGCCGCTTCACCTGCCGGCCCCCACCACTGCACCTGCCGGCCCGCCGCTGCACCCTACGGCCCGCCGCTGCACCCTACGGCCCGCCGCTGCACCCGTCGGCCCGCAGCTTCACCTGTCGGCCCCGCCGCTTCACCTGCCGGCCCGCCGCTGCACCGGTCGGCCCGCCGCTGCACCTGACGGCCCCGCCCCTGCATCTCCCGGCCCCGCCGCCCCAGCAGCAAAGCCGCCCCAGCAGCCGAGCCGCCCTAGCAGCCGAGCCGCCCCAGCAGCCGAGCCGCCCTAGCAGCCGAGCCGCCCCAGCAGCCGAGCCGCCCCAGCAGCCGAGCCGCCCCAGCTGCAATGCCGCCCGAGCCGCCGAGTCGCCCGAGCCGCCCAGCAGTCGAGCCGCCCGAGCTGCCCGAGCCGCCCGAGCCCGCCCTGCACTGCCCTGTCTGGTGAAAACTGAGCTTTACTCTGCGCACTGCCCTCTCTCTACTGCTGTCATGGCTACCCCCAGTGTCCTCGCCTTTGACGCTGAGGGCAGAGCCATTGACTTTGACGTATGGGTAGACAACCTACTGCTTTTCCTACAGTGCGACAGAGCTGACGGCCTCTCTCTCTTTGATCTCACTTCTGGTGCCTCTCCCGCCCCTGCTGCTACTGAGGATGCCACTGTTCGCTCACAGTGGGCCACACGCGATGCTGCTGCACGTCTTGCTGTGCGTCGCCACCTCCCTCCCGCTGAGCGTGCGCATTTTGGGTCGTACAAGAGTGCTAAGACCTTGTACGACGCCGTTATCGCACGCTACTCCACCCCTGCCACTGCTGCACTGAGCCGCCTCATGCTACCGTACCTCTTTCCCGACCTTGCTGCTTTTGCCACAGTAGCCGACCTCATTACCCACCTGCGCACTAGTGACGCTCGCTTCCGCGCTGCACTTCCTGCTGAGTTCTGCGCCAAGAACCCCCCCCCCAGTACTTCACTCTCTACTACATTGTCACCCGCCTCCCTGACTCCCTTCGCGGAGTCAGGGACGACCTACTCGCAGTCTGCCCCACCACTCTCACTGTCGAGATCCTCGAGAAGTCCCTCCTAGAAGCCGAGAAGAGCATTCTCGCTGTAGGGGCCTCTCGTGGTGACCCGCGCACCCCCATCTTTGAGGGGTGTTCCCCCTCCCCCCTCCTGCCCTCTGTTGCCTCTGCTGCTACGGCCGACCTTGTTGGTTTTGAGCCGGTCGGTGCGGCGTCTACCCCCAGCGGGAGACGTCGCTCTGGCAAGAGCAAGGGGGGCAGGGGCGGTGGTGGAGGCGACGGGGGCGGTGGAGGCGGAGGTAGAGGCAGCGGCGGAGGTGAGGGTGGTAGCGGAAGTGGTGGAGGGAGTGGAGGGGTCGGCGGAGGCAGTGGAGGCGGGGGCGGCAGCGGCGGTGGTAGTGGGGGTGGAGGCGGAGGCGGCGGTGGCGGCAGCAACGGTGGGAGTGGCGGTGGCGGCGGAGGTGGTGGCGGCGGCGGCGGAGGAGGCGGCGGAGGTCGTGGCGCGTCAAAGAGGAGTGGCTCCAGTGGAGGTCAGCACCAGCAGCAGCAGCGTGGTCAGGAGACCCTCTCCTCGCAGCAGCTCCGTGAGTGGTACTCTGCGCGTCAGCGGGGTGGGGGTGCTGGTCCGTGCACTTACGTCCTGCGCACTGGCAACCGTGCGGGTGAGCAGTGTGGTGGTCCACACTCCACCCAGCGTTGCTTCGGCCGCCTGACTGACGCTTGGCGCCGCCAGTTTCCTGACGCCTCTGAGATCCCTCGCTGGGACCAGCTGTCTAGGGCGGGAGTAGCTATCTTTGATCTTGACTTTGATGCTATTCTTGCTGCAATGTATGCTATGACTATTAGTGAGGAGGGTGACTGTTACCGGTGTTTCCCGCCCGACCCAGGCATTGGTACTGCGGCTCTAGGTGCTGTTGAGGCTGCTGCTCCAGGTGCTGGTGAGGCTGTTGCTCTAGGTGCCAGTGAGTCTGAGTCCTCAGGTGCTGGTGAGTCTGCTCTCTCAAGTACTGTGTCGACTTCACCCTCTCTCACTTTCACTCTTGAGTCTGGGGCGTCTCGCTCCTTCTTTCGAGACCGCACCACACTCACGCCGCTTAGTCGGCCCGTGGCGGTCTCCTTGGCAGACCCCTCTGGGGGTCCTGTTCTGGCTCGCTACTCCACTGTCCCGCCGTGCCCTGCGGTCTCGTCTGGCGCCCTGTCCGGTCTCTACCTCCCCTCGTTCTCTACGAACTTGGTGGCGGGTGCTGACCTACAGGATGCAGGGGTTGACCAGTTCACCCCTGCGCGCCGACGGGTCACCCACTGCACGGACGCGGACACGGGTCGACACCTGACCACGTTCACACGTGGTCCAGGGTCGAGCCTGTACACACTCACTGTTCCGTCTCCTCCTCCTGCGTCCGGTCAGGTAGCTGCGTCGGGTAAGGTGTTTGCTGCAGCGTCCAGGTCTGGTCCTGAGTCTGCCCCCTGCTGGTGTCGCCTCCTGTCCCACGAGACCCTCCTGTGGCACCACAGGATGGGTCACCCCTCCCTGCCTCGTCTCCGGGGCATGGCCTCTCGCCTTCTTGTCTCTGGCCTTCCCCGGTCCCTCCCTCCCCTTCCTCCGGGGCCTGGCCCTCCCTGTGTCCCCTGTGTCGAGGGTCGCCTGCGGGCTACCCCTCACTCCTCCCCGTTTCCTTCGACGGAGGCCCCGATGCAGACGCTTCACATGGACGTGTGGGGCCCAGCCCGCGTCCGTGGGCAGGGTCACGAGCGCTACTTCCTACTGGTGGTTGACGACTACACGCGTTACACCTCAGTCTTCCCCTTGCGCAGCAAGGGTGAGGTCACTGAGGTGTTGATCGACTGGATCCGCGCAGCTCGTCTCCAGCTCAGGAAGAGCTTCGGCTCGGACTTTCCTGTTTTGCGTCTACACTCGGACAGAGGCGGAGAGCTCTCCTCCGGCCTTCTGCGAGCCTACTTTCGGGCACGAGGCATCCGCCAGACCTTGATGTGGACGGGGAAGGTTGGCGATGCGTCGGCGTTCCGTGTTTCGGGATCTCGGGCGTTTGTCCGCGACTTGTCTGCGGACAAGCTGTCCCCTCGTGCTGCTCCCTGTCTCTTCCTTGGCTTCCCCACAGACGCTCCCGGGTGGCAGTTCTACCACCCCTCCTCTTGTCGTGTTCTGTCCTCCCAGGACGTCACGTTCGACGAGTCTATCCCCTTCTACCGCCTCTTCCCCTACCGCACTCCTTCCCTCCCCCCTCCACCGGACTTCCTTGTGCCGGTTCCCCCCCCGGTAGACCCCCTCCCCCCTCAGGTTCCTGCCCCCTCAGGTGTGTCCCAGGTAGACGCCGTTGACCCGGTCGAGGTTACTGGTGACTCTGGTGCTGCTGCGGGTGCTGAGCCTGAGGGTGCTGACTCTGGGGGTGCTGTGCGCGGGGGTGCCGAGCCTGGAGGTGCTGCTACTGGGGGTGCTGAGCCTGGGGGTGCTGGGCCTGGGGGTGCTACTGCGGGGGGTACTGAGCCTGGGGGTGCTGAGCCTGGGGGTGCTGAGCCTGGAGGTGCTGAGACTGGAGGTGCTACGCCTGGGGGTGCTGAGCCGGGGGGTGCTGTGTCAGGAGCTGCTGAGCCTGGGGGTGCTGAGTCTGGAGC